TTCATTTGAAAAGGGCTCAAGACAGGATGAAGATACAAGCAGATCAACACAGAACTGACAAAGAGTTTCAAGTAGGTGATTGGGTCTATGTTAAATTGCAGCCTTACCGGCAAGAGTCAGTAGCAAAAAGGACCAACTTGAAACTATCTCCCAAATTTTTTGGCCTATTCGAAGTTGTTAAAAAGGTGGGGCAAATGGCTTACAAATTAAACTCCCAAACGAGGCTCAAATCCATCTGGTGTTCCACATATCTCAACTTAAGAAGCAAAAGGGCGAAACTCCTGAAAAGCTCATTCTGCCCCTACTGGATGATCAAGGAGCGATAAGGGTAGAACACTTGCCGGTATTAGAAAAAAAGTTGTCAAAAAGAGGAAATGAAGTTGCAGTATATTGGTTGATTCAATGGACTAATGGGGAGAGAAGTTGCTACGTGGGAAGCCTATGATGATTTGTCTAAAAGGTTTCCTGAGTTTGTAGCAAGGCAGCTTTCAGGTTGAGGACAAGCTAAATGTAAGGAGGGTGGATTGTTATAAACCAACTGAATGATGCCACGTCATGGACACGTCAACTTGAACGTGGGAGAGACATGCATGCAGGATTATAACGAATTAGTTACATAGTTGTTCCTAACTAATCTGTTAGAGTCGTTGTGGAAGCCTTGTGTATAAAACCATGTTATAATAACTGGAACAATCATGAATTCATTTGCTCAATTGATCTTCTTCCCTAATATGCTTACTATCTCCATAATTGTTCGAATTCTGTTCTTTCTCTAAGAATTCCTACTATTTTCATGTTCTTCGTTCGTTAGAGCCTAGAACATTACAGGTTAGTCGGAAGTTCAAAACTTAAGACGCTGAGAATGGCGAGAAGGGTCGTCCACTGCCTATTGCAAATGATAACCATGACAAACGGTACGCTATTTTGGGCCTATATCCATGCCAAACGGTAAACCATATTTGGGCAATGAAGTTCATAAAATAAAGACGAGAATCACTTTCATAAGTTACATATTTGGGCAAAAGTAACAACACGAGTATCGAATAAAAAAACATTACTTAAAAATGTTTCTCGTAGACCAATGTGAGCAAATCATTGATAATTGTTGCATAGACAACCCTCTTTCCACTAATAAATATGACAAAAAATAAAATTGCCACATATAACAAAAGTAAACTTTCTTTTGAAAGGATAAATAAAAAGAAATATTACCACATAACGAATTCATTAGTTGAGAATGATTTATTGACCTTTGATGAGAGTCTAAAGTTTGAAGTCTCGAAAGAATGAAGGTTTTTAAAGAGACAGAATGTTTGGCTGCCAACGAAACTCGCGTAAGAAGATTGCAAATTTGACGTTCTCTAAAACTACTGTTACGAACTCAGATATAGCTTATTGAAATTTGGAAACAAATGAATGATTGGGGTGAAATTTGAGAGAAATGGGCTCTAAAATAATTATATAAATTTGTTATGTTATAATTAAATTGAATAAAAAACTTTAAAACCTAAAAAGATGTGAGAACTAGAGAGACGTGTCTTTTATTTATGCAACAACAATTGTATTACTTTTAAAAACTACAACCGATCATGCTAAAAAATAATGTATATATTATGTTTTAAACTTGTCTCTGTTTAAGACTCTTTATTTATGTTTTAAATTTTCAAATTATCAACAAAATTAATCATTAAGCCTAATTAATTGACCTTAAGAAGAAACAAAGAGGCCTACTCACACTATATATAAAGAAAAAATTTTGGGCCTATTTTTTATTCTATTTTTTTCGGGCCTAAGGCGGTCGCCCCTCTTCCCCCCCCCCCCCCCCCCCCCCCCCCCCCAGAACCGGCCCTGGACGTGAGCTATTCTAGATTGAGGTGAACTATACACAATATACTAAAGGAGTGTTTGCTAAAATTAAAAAAAAAATGATTTTCAACTTTAGTCTTTAAAAAAAAAATGAAAAGAGTATTTTCAAATGATAACATCTACTATTCAGTAATAATATTAGAAATATCGATGATTAGTGTAGTTTTTGTAATAATAATAATAATAATAATAATAATAATAATAATAAAAGAACAATAAATAATAACGAGATCTAATAATAGAAGTAATAGTGGTAGTATGTACATATTAGCTATTAATTTGAATTAATTATACCATAATATTGATAAAGTGTGGATAATATTGAAGTAAGAGTGACTTGATCACGTCAAATTAAACCTAATTCATTCAAACCAAAGCAACTTAAGTACTCCCTACTTTCTTTTTTGAGCAGCCCAGAAATTAACTTTACAATTCTTCCCACTTTCTTATTTGGCAAATTCTCTAGATCCAAAGAGTGCCAAACAATGTCAAACAATGTCCACACAATGTCCAAATATTAAGTTTATTTCCTTAATATGATATGTGTGAAAACGAAGTGTGAAGTTGTTTACGGGACAGAGGGAGTAGTATTTTGTGTGATTGTGTGTGTATCCAAGTATGTGGCTGGAATTAACAAAAAAATCGAAACACTTAGTTATACTTTAACAAAAAAATCAACACACTCGTTCGGTTGCCCAAGGGTTTAATCAACACACTTGAATAGATTTTACTGAAACCTTTAGTCCTGTTGTCAAATCCACTACTGTTCGTCTTGTTTTATCTATAGTTGTTTCTCTTGGTTGGTGTATTCGTCAATTGGATGTTAAAAATGCTTTTCTTCACGGTTACCTTACTGAAGAAGTTTACATGCGTCAACCACCTGACTTTGTTCATCCCTCATTTCCTCATCATGTGTGTCGCCTTAAAAAGGCTTTGTATGGCTTGAAACAAGCTCCATGTGCTTGGTTTCACCGATTAAGTGGTTTTCTTTTGAGTCATGGGTTTTCCCAGCGTAAGTCTGACTCTTCTATGTTTGTATTTCGTGATCGTTCTCAGGTTGTTTTCATTCTTCTCTATGTCGATGATATTTTGATTACAGGCTCATCATTATCTTTCGTTCATTCTGTTATTCGATCCCTTTCTACTCAATTTGCCATGAAGGATTTGGGGGACATTCATTTTTTCCTCGGCCTACAGGCTCATCGTACCTCACGTGGGTTGTTCCTTTCCCAACAAAAATATATCTCTGACCTGCTACGGCGTTTTCACCTTCACACAGTCAAACATGTCTGTACCCCTTTACCATCACGTACCACCCTTTCTCTTACAGATGGGGACCTTCTTATTGATGCTACTGAATACCGCAGTATGGTAGGTGTTTTACAATATTTGATTTTGACTAGATCTGATATTACTAATGCTGTACACCTGGTTTCTCAGTTTATGCATGCTCCACGCACTACTCACCTTTTAGCTGTGAAGCGTATCTATAGATATTTGCAGGGGACTATGGATTATGGTTTATGGCTCCAGTCCAAACCTGATATTTCACTTATTGTTGCATATTCTGATGCGGATTGGGCTGGATGTCCAGACAGTAGCAGATCTACGACAGGTTATGCTGTTTTTCTTGGTTCCAATTTAATCTCCTGGCTCTCCAAGAAACAACTTACAGTTTCTAAATCCTCCACTGAAGCTGAATACCGTGTCATTGCATACACGGTTCAGGATACCTTGTTTATTCGCTCTTTACTGGCAGATATGGGTATAGTTATTTCTGCTCCTGTTCAGCTTCATTGTGATAATGTTTCTGCATCTTACCTGGCGGTGAACCCTATTCAGCACGATCGTAGCAAACACATCAAAATAGATTATCATTTTGTTCGGGAACGTGTGGCTCACGGTGATTTTGTGGTTAAATATGTCCCTACTCAGTTGCAGCTAGCTGATATTTTTACTAAAAATCTTTCTAGTCAGCGTTTTGAATTTTTACGTTCCAATCTGCGTGTTGTTTCCCTACACAGATTGCGGGGGTGTAATAGCTCATAATATAGGGACTTACATGTAATTAGTGATTCTTGGATTATTATAAATATAACACTATTATTCCACAATTATTATTGCATATATTTCTCTTGCATAACCAATGTAATTTTGTTGGTGGCGGATCAATCCAATTCCGCCTCTTCATTTGAACTCGCTTGAAGATGAAATGATTTAGCGGAAACCAAACCGCCCTGTGGATTTCACAAAATGCACCTCCCACAGCTTTACCAGGAACGAAGGATGCATCAACATTTAATTTCATCTGATTTTTAGGTTTCTGCCAACGCACCACTCTGAAATGTTGACCTTTGGAGCCGAAAGAGATGGGGATTAAACCTTCTTCATAAAGAAAACTATCAATATGATCATTTTGACTTTTGGAGAAGCCAGAAACCCATTTGTGTGTATAAGCCTTGATTTACATCATTGGAAATTGGAATGGAGCCAGTACCCCACAGAAAATCGAGTAGATTTTACATCATTTTTAGATTGTGTCTAAAAATGTCCACTAATCTATGAAGATTGCCTTTTGTTGCACCACTAATGAGATTTGGAGGGACTAAATGCTACCATTTTTATACCACTGCACCAACGAATGATATAATAAGTCTTCAACTTTGATATTTTTACTTGTAAGATTTTGAGCCCGTTTGATTCGTCATATCAGGTTTATCTATCAACTTTTTCGCCAAACATGTAATTTTTTATTTCACGCGTTGAATGTGTAATAATAAGAAAAAGTAAGGTTGGAGTTACTTCTCTGGCTGTATTGGCTGAAGTTACCGTAGAAGATCATTTCAGCTATTTTTACATATAATTTTTTCTTTATTTTATTAATAAAATATATTTTAAATATAATATTTTAATAAATAAGCAGAATCAGTCAATTCAGCCAAAGCTTCATAAATTTCAACAAAATCAGTCGATTCGGCCGATTTTGGCATTACCGAACGGACTCTTTGAATAGTTAATATTCTAGCGAATTGATTAGTTTTTGAGCTGTTTTCTTCCATCGCCATTTTGGTGAACTAGTGTGTTTTGATTTACTTGGTGATAGGATGTCCTTCCAGAATTGGAGTCTAATTTTCTTGAGTGCTCATAAACTACGTATATATTGAGATACATTCATTCATCCAAAAAGACAAAAAAAGTACAGAATATGATGACAAAAAGAGACATATTCATGATTAGCCGGGAGCCGAATTAAATAAACTCCAGACTGGTTGCTAATTACACAATTTAATCAACACTCCACAACGTGGATTTTACTATTAAACCAGGGAAAAAATGAACACTAAATAACTGGTTCTAATTACCAAAATCCGTCCTGTTCTTTTAATTGGCAAGAAATTCCCAAATCAATTCCGGGTCAAACGAAGGCATCCTCTCAAGCGTGAAATATTCATACTCAGAGCCAATTGACGGCAGCGCCGGAATCTCGCCGGAAACCGACGTCGTCTGGTTCTCGCCCTCCCAGACCTCCTCCCCAGAGCCACTACTAGTTGAAACCATATCGCTAAACCCAGAAAACGAAGAAGAAGGAGATGAAGAAGACTCCACTATCACAGTCGCCTCACAATTTCTTGAATCATTACTATTCCCCGAATTGCCCTTCGACTTGGATTTCTTGGACTCCTTCTTGGCTCTGTTCTCCCTCTTTACCTTCTCGGTAACCGCTTGGATCTTAGCGTCCACGGCGTTCTTGACGGCGGTCAGCTTCGAGCTGTCTCTGAATCCGAGCTTGCTCGGATCGGAAAGATTGGGGAAATTTAACCGGGCGTATTCACCTCGGAGCTTATAAGCTGCTATGTCATAAGCATAAGCTGCAGTTTCAGCTGTATCATAAGTCCCCAACCAAACTCTAATTCTGTTCTGGGGAAGTCTGATCTCTGCAACCCATTTCCCCCACTGCCTTTGCCTCACTCCTCTGTACAGCTTCTTCTTCAACGGGCTGATGTATGTCTGCTGAACGTATAAAGAATCGTTGAGTTGACTTTCGAGAAGAGCTGTTCTTGTAAGCTGTTGTGGAGAAGGGGTTACTCTGTTTTCTCTGCAGAACTTTTGGAGCAGATCTCTGTGTCTGAGATAGACTGAGGAGCCAATTGGTTCAGACACAGAAGGGGTGTTGTTCATATTTGTGTTTGGTTCTGAGAAATTGGAGAAAATTGAATCTTTTCTTCCATAATGAGCTGCGAGGATGTTCTGCGAGAGGGAGGATCTGGTTTCTGCATCTCTTCCATAACTGAATGGGATGCTACTGCTTTCAAGAATGCAATCCATTTTCTTCTTCTTTTTCTATGTGAGGTATTGGAAGTAAGAAATAGAAAACAGGGTGGGTCTCTTTTATGAAAGATTGTTCCTTCCTCTGTTGAAAGAGATGCAAAGCTGCAATTTTTTCTGAGGGAAATCAAGAAAATTGGTAGAGGGGGAATGAGTGTGTGGGAGGATGGAGTAGAGAGAGATGTTTGATGTAATAATAACTCCTTGCTGTTTTTGATGTGCTGAACATGGGCTGTTTTGATGTATTTATAGGTCCCTAGAAATTGGATTTATTTTTGCAATCAGTAGTGTTTGTACTGTGCAAAAAGGATCACATTATTACCAACTTTTAACAAGTTTTATGTATTCCGTATTATTTTCCAAAAGAGGTACTGTATTTCTTTCTCACCAATTTATTATAGGCCCTAGCATAGATTCATTTCAATTACTCCTTATTTTATCTTCCATCCCTTTTTATTCTAGCATAGATAAATTTCATAATTTATCTTCCCCTAATATTGGTACGGAAGGTTGTGGTGTGGTTTTTAAGAAAAGTAAAATTATATGGTTGCTAATGAGTTGATATAATGGAAATAAAGTAAGAATGAATTAAAGTCATACAAATGTCACCAAATATGGTATGGGACAATAATAAAGGGACATCCAAAAATTAAAAAATGAGACAATTATAGGGGGCGGAGGGAGTAATATTTAGACTAACTCCTACTCCTCCGTATAACATTATCCGTCTCATTTGCTTTTTCACGTACTTCACAATAATCGTTGTACACTTTGTAAAAAGTAAAAAGTTTTTTGTACTGTAGTTGTATTGTAGCAATACTGTAGATGCTTTAAGAATAATTTTTTTCCTAAAAGATAAATGATACTCCCTCCGTCCCGAAAAAGTTGGCCAAATTTGATTTTCACATGGATTAATAAAGTAAAAACTGTGTGGTTGAAATTTGTGCAGAGGAGATAGAATTAATATTAGATGCATATTCTTTACTTTAAATGGAAATGACAAATCTTTTGTGGACATCCAAAAAAGGAAATTTGACCAACTTTTTCGGGACGGAGGAGTACAATTAATTTGATATGTCTCAAAAAGGAAACTGAGACAGATAAACCGAAACAGAGGAAGTATTTTTCAATCTTCTAGCATTATCATTCAACTTTTTTATCAAACACGTAGTTTTAGATTTCACGTGCTGAACCATGTAAATAACACGTAGTTTTAGATGATCATTTGTTTATTTTCATTTACTGAGTTTTATTAATAACATATATTTTAAATACATAGTATAATTTATCCATAATTTGGCATATTAGTCGGGAGTCGAATTAAATAAATCCACACTGATGGGTAATTCAATAGTTTGGGAATATATGTCACGGAATATTAGTCTGGGAAGCATGTCACACATTTCGTTAATTAGCCAACATCCTACACATACTTTACTCAGAAGTAAAAGATAAATATGTTTAGATCCTCAAAATATTTAAATTCATGAGTAAATAATTACAAGCTCATAATTAACAATTCTCTCTGAGCAGGACAATAATAGCTCCTAATTAGAAAATAAAATAGTATTCTTATTCTTATTTCATTATTTCACCTTATTTTTATTCTACTTTGGACATTTTCTATTTCCATAAATGACCTTGTATTTAGATTAAGTTAAGTTGAAGTGAATATGTCAATAACTACTAAACTAAAATCATACTTTGATTTCTTAATTCTTTGATATAGATATTTTCATTCATACTAATGTTTGATCCAACTCTTAAAATTTTATTTTATTTGCTGTCTTCATAACTCCATTCCATTTTTTAAAATACAATTCAATTTTTGGACTGATTCACAGCACTTTCTAAAATAATAAATTTATTAATATCTTAATTTTCTTTCCAATAAAGAATCAGTATTCCGTGTTTGAAAAGAGTATAAAAGAAGTGTAGAGGTGTATGATTGAGAAGCCCTCTTTCACATTGAAAGTTGACTACGGGTAGGACACGCGTCCACATATGAATGGAGTTGGACAAATTCAAAGGAACACAGTGACCCATGCGTTAAAAAGCCACTTTTTGAATTTAATATTCCTCAAAGAGTCAGCACCGATTTGAAATGGATCACTTCCATAAAGTATTGTTTTGGTTCATCTCTGCCACGCGTCCAGCTCGCATGTGATGATAATTGAAATATGTTTTCAACTTTCAGTACACGGAACAGTCCACACCCACTTGTAAGCCGTTGCTCCCATAAAGCTACAATTTGTCATCTTTTGGATTTTAATGGCTCTCACCAATATTCTTTCAAAAAAATGGCTCTCACCGATATGTGTTTTGGAATTGTGTAAATCTTTTTTGTACACTTGGAACAGGGTTGTCTTAGGATAAAATGTGTACAGAGTTGTCTTTGGACAGACAACTTATCTGCGGAGAATAGACAAGTGTACAAAAAAGGTGTACACATTTTGTGTACACCACACATTTTTCCACCAATATTTCCTTTTGTTTATCATACTACATTCTTCTCAATTGACTTTGCACACTTTGAATTAAAAGATAAATAAAAATAGTAAATTTGTGCAGTTGAAATTTGTGAAGAGAGAGAAATGACCAGAACTACAAAATAATTACTTTAATGAGAAAGTTGCAAAGTTTTTTGAGACAATAAAAAAGAAAAAGTTGGTAAAGTCCAATTTTCGGACGCTTTTAGCGATTGATTGTAGTCCTATATCAAATCAGAATAAACGAGATCCGATCATATTTAAATAAAATAAATCATATTAGACCAGCTCATATCAGACTTCTTTAGTTATAAAATATACATACCCCCTTCGTTTTTTCTTATAACTTTGTCAACTTTTCTTTTTTTGTTGTCCCAAAAACTTTGTCATTTTCCTTTTTAATCAATCAATTTATGGCTCCTACTTTTTCTCTCTAATCTGCACAAACATCGACCACACATAGTTTTTACTTTACTATTCTATAAGCTGATCAAACATGGAAAACTTTTAAGGGATAGAGGGCTTCAAACCCGTAGCAATTCTTCAACCCAGCCCCTGCCTTCAGCCTCTAACTTCTTCTTCAAACCTTCCAGTAGCGTTCGGTTGGCGTTCTCAACTTGTCCATTACCTTGGGGGTAGGCAACCGAAGAAAAGGTATGCTTTATTCCCCATGCCTCCAGGAGGTCACGGAAGGGGGCTGCTTCAAATTGAGTTCCGTTGTCGTACACAATCTGCTGGGGGACGCTGAACCTTGTGAGGATATTCTTTAAGATAAAACGTCGACATCGGGCCTCGGTGATACTGGCGAGAGGTTCACCTTCTACCCACTTTGTGAAATAATCAATGGCCACTATTATGTACATGTTGTTTGACGTACTCCTCATTAATGGTCCAACTAGATCAATGCCCCACCTGGAAAAGGGTATTGCTGTGCTGACAGGAGTGTAATTGACCGCGGGCCTTCCCGAAGCTTTCTGGAAGTGTTGACAGGCGTTACACTTCCGGGCGAGGTCTGCGCAATACCGGGCCATGGTAGGCCAAAAATATCCTTGAATGATCATCCTTCAGGACATTGAGAAGGTCCCCCGGTGAGATGAGCAGTTACCATTCTGTACCTCGTCCATAGCGACTTCGGCCTCTTCTGCGTGGAGGCATCGGAGTAACGTACCATTGTAGGACCGTTTGTAGAGCTTTCTGTTCTCGAGAACGTAGCTCGGAGCCCTCAGCTTTGCTGATTTCCTACGGTCTTCGTCATCAGGCAGTTGCCTAGTTGTGATAAAGTTGGTGATGTCTGAGATCCAGTCCCTCGGCCTCTGGTGTATATCCATGACGGGACTGGCGTGTATGCTTGAGAGGCTTAATTCCTCTATCCTTGCAATTTTGGAGAGATGTTTCAGGGACTCGTCCGAGAGCTTGGATAAGATATCGGCCTCAGAATTCCGAGCCCTCAGTATTTGAGTGATGGAGTGCGCCTCAAATACTTTGAGCAATTCCTTGGTTGCATCCCTGTATTGCTTCATTCTTCCCTCATTTGCTTCGTATTCACCGGAGATCTGTCCAACCACTAGTTTGGAATCACACTTCACGTGGATCCTTTGCCTTAAGGTTAGCCGCCAGCCGGAGGCCACAGAGGAGGGCCTCGTACTCCGCTTCGTTGTTGGAACCCTTGAAGAAAAAGCGGATCACGTAGTGGGCGCGAAAGCCTTTGGGTGTGATAAGGACCACACCCCCTCTGCATGCTTTGGTTGTCGAGGAACCGTCTGCGTAGAGGGTCTACCACTCATCTCCTTGCGCCGAGGGCTCTGCCATTGTTGCTGATCTTGCCGTGAATTCCGTCACGAAGTCGGCCAGGGCTTGGCCCTTAATGGCAGGCCTCAGACGCATGTCTATGTTGTATTGGCTTAGGAAGATGGCCCATTTCACCATCACTAGAAGTGCTGGTGGGGCTCCGCATCAATGTGCCGAGGGGTTGATGAGTGAGGCCCTGCACTGGATGGACTTACAAATAATGGCCCAATTTTTTGACAGTCCAGACGATAGCCAGTACCGCCTTCTCCACGGGGGAATACCTGAATTCTGCCTCCCGGAGGGTCTTGCTCACATAGAAGATGTCATGTTGAACTCCGTCCTCCTCCCGGATGAGGACTGAACTGATTGCGGTGGGACTGCTGTCTAGGTAGAGATACAATGTCTCCCCTGCTTTGGTCTTGGAGACCACCGGAGGTGATTGCAGATATTGTTTTAATTCATCGAAGGCCACATGGCATTCGGTAGTCCATTGGAAACTGGCGGTCTTCCTCATAATTTAGAAGAAAGGAAGGGATTTCTCTGCTGATTTTGAAAGGAAGCGATTGAGGGCCGCCAAACGGACCGTTAGCCTCTGAACTTTCTTCATGTTGCATCGGGGCTCCATGTTGATGATGGCCTGGATCTTCTTAGGATTGCCTCAATACCCCTTCGGCTCACCATGTAGCCCAAATATTTTCCCCCTTGCACACCGAAGGTGCACTTCTTTGGATTCAACCGAAGGTTGAACTTTTGCATGATGGAAAAAATCTCCCGAAGGTCATTGGCGTGACTTATAGATTCCTTGCTTTTGATGATCATGTCATCGACGTATGCCTCCATGGTGCGTCCCAACATGGCCTGGAAAACCCTTTCCACCATTCTCGTGTAGGTGGCTCCGGAATTTTTTAAACCGAAGGCCATAACCAGGTAGCAAAAGATACCTTCGGGCGTCATGAAGGCGGTTTTCTCCGCGTC